CGGTCCTGCGCAAGAGGTTTAAGTGAACGTTAAGTAAACAATCATTTTGCCTCAGCCCTATTGGTCAACTGCATTTGAGTTCAATCTCACCACTCAAATGTGAAATAGCCTCCAGAGTGGGCGAGTCTCTTCTGACCGTGTTGATCTGCCTTTTCCCGTACTTGTTTTGTGCACTCGAAATCTCTATGCAGCATGGAAACAGCCTTATCATTTCAATTTAAAATCCTTGAAACTGCATATTTTCTAGTGTAGTTCGTATTTAAGACGTTCTGCTGAATGGTCGAGTCGAATACAGTGTGAAATTTTTTGGTTCGCAAGAAGTAAAAGAAGCGAAGGGGACTGAAGTAATTCGAGACGCTATCCATGCTATTCAATTCCAAAATGGCGTAAGAAAATAAAGTATGCCATATACTTGCAAATTCTCCTTCCTGTTTCAGCTGAAACGGTTTGAATCCACACAGGCTGGCAATAAACTTCAAAAAGTTGACATCCAAATAAACGTTGAAGGAGTTACAATAGTAGATTCGAAGACAAAAATGGCTCTCCATCGATATCCTCTTCAAAAAATCTCTTTTTGTGCCGATGATAAGCAGGTGATCCTGAGTATTTATTGCTTGTTTCTGATTTTGCAAGTAATCTTACATCTTTTTTTCAGGATAAAAGAATATTTTCGTTCATTACAAAGTCGGAGGCCGACCCATCAAGACACGAATGCTTTGTTTTTCTAAGTGACAAAATGGCCGAACAAATAACATTGACAGTAGGAGAAGCGTTTGACTTAGCTTATAAGGTAGGTAGACTAGTTTATTTTTGCATAAGTTTAGTGCGAAACCTCAAAGTAGGTTCAACTTACTACTTTCTCTCGAAGATCGATGTAATCAGTTTATAACAGTTAAAAAACGCAATGACTTCAACTTACAATAATGCATGTGGATGTAGAACATCGGTTAGCATTTTCTGAGCGGTTATCATATTCGTTATCGGCGTGCCGATTCACCAAGCGTCATTTTCTGGCTTTTGAGGCTAAAGGGCAAAAAACTAAGTTGATGAAAGCTATCAAGTCCTTGGTAGTCATCGAAAAGAAATGAATCGACAAGATCGATATTCTCTGCATAGAGTAGCCTATGTTACCCGCCTTTGGATAATGTATGTTCCAAGTTCAATCCAAATAAATTATGAAACATAACTTTGTATTGGAACATTCTATGCACCACCTATAAGAAGAAAGGGA